GCTTCTATAAAAAATCTCAAACAGATAGAGCTAACTTACTTGACTAACTTACTTGACTTTACTATAAACAGAGCTAACTTACTTGACATAACTAGGTTCCCGTGGCTCATTTTCTGTGTTCATTTTTGCTGTTTACTAAAACATTGAAGTTTTAGTAAACAGCAAAAATGATTAAAACTGTTAAAAACTTTTTCTGTTTTACTAAAACTATTAAAGTAAAGAGACCAAATTAAGAACAAGTTTAGAAATAGTCAGGTGTGGAACAAACTTACCATGACTTTTATCAAAGGGGTCCTAACAGCTAGTTTTCATAATAATAAAACTGGCATCTTAAATTTCATCTCATTTAATTCTAATCTATATAAATATTTTGTAAACAAAGAATTGCTTACATTAGTAATGTAATCAAAAAATAAAGTTTGAAGTTGAAACACGCACGAACCAGAAAAACTCAAATTTACTAGTTACTAAATAAATAAACTTTAATTCCTTAGAAAATATAAGTTTCAGCAGTATACTTTTTTTTTAAATAATTTTTCAGATATTAATAAAGATTTCCAGAGTAAAACTTTAAAGTACATTTAAAAATTTTTAATAAACACATTTAATACTAAAATAAATCAAGTTTTCTTTGTTTTTAACTTTATTTGAAATTATTTTATTTGTAAATAGAGCTTACTTCAAACCTAATTGGCATTCAAACTTTTGTAACAAACATTTTTGCATAATCATTTGAGTGACTTTAATAAAATTAATTACCTATAAGACATTTTAAAACTAATTTAGATATTACGTTAACTGCGAGCTATGTAACGCTTTAAAACAAGGCCTAATATATATAATAATTTTATTCTCTGTATTTTTTTTATTCTGTACTTTGTAATCTATATTTTCTGTTTCAGTTTATTTATGGTGTGCATTTTCTGTTTAATTTGCTTACAGACCTTGCTACAAGAGTTTAATGCATAACGAAAACGTTTAACACTAAAAAATGAAACTTAGCTTTGATTACATTGTTAAAAGTTAAATTGTATCATTATTTTTAAGTACTGTAATGTAATTAGATTTAATTTTAAACCACTTTAAAAATAATTTAAACAAAAAAGCCATAACAAAAATTACTGATAAAATCTAAATTCCATGTTTAAAAAAAACTATATTTTCTTATAATTTATTTTTTAAACAATCTTAAACATAATATAATCCTTTGTTTGTTTTATTACAACTTAGCTTTTTTTTTTTTACTCATTTAATGAACTATTCTTAATAAAGATTATAAACAATTTATACATTTTATTTGTTACCAGTAAAATATTAGTAAAAAGAAATTATCTTCATAAATAAAATGTATGTCATAAATATTTTACACAATATTGAATAAATAAGATTCTTTAACATCTTAAATCTATTTGTGAAAAGAATTCTCTTAAACAAAAACGCTTCTCTCGTCTTAAAACAAAAAAATAAAACTTTTAATTGCTTTCACACATCTTAATTAATGATGCTTTACGTAGTGAATCAAAAGATGATTAAAAAAAAAATTCATCTTTAACTAATATTGCAGAACTATTTTACATTTCTTTGAAACTAAATTTTACATTCTACATTTTACAAGCTATTTTTTACATTCCTTTACTAAATTTCAAATCATCAAAATAAAACATTTGGGTGGTCATATAATAGCGTGTGATTGCACGCCTTTCTATGAAACTTTGTCAAATGTTTTTTTTCACAACTAGATATTAGAATAATCATCGCATAGATGATAACAAAAGATAATTTAATTATTCTAAAAGATCAAAGTTTTTGCTTAGCGTAAAATTGCTCAATACCTACTCAAATTGCCATTTCATATGTAAAATGCAAGTGGTGTAAGAGTTCTTAAGAAATCGTGCATTTCAATTGTTTCAATAAAGTTAAAAATGGTGATTGAAAAGTAAAAGTCAAAAAGAGGTTTTTTAGAGAATGAATCAGATACTAAAGTAACTAGTTTTTTTGTATTTGAATTTTAACTTTTTCAAAAGTTGGAAGCTCAGAAAAGTAATTGTAATCAAGAGTATCAAAAATGTATAAAATAATAATTATATCAAATGAAATCAAAACAAATTTTATTGCAGATTCATTTACTGTTAAAATGTCAATGAATTTTACTGATATAGGTGAAAAGTTAAAAAGATAGTATCTTATGAGGTTCTCTTCTGATTCCATTTCCTACCATTAACCTATCACTTGACCTTGTTTAGAACACTGTCATAGCTGGTTTTTGTAATGAGAACCTTTCTCTTTTGAACAAGGTTCAAAAATGCACTGTATATGTTTTTGGATCTGTTCTAGATAAAGCTTGAGCCTATTATCATATGGTTGTATCTCTTACTTTTTTTTTACAAATACTATCATGGCCACTGTTCAAGCAAGCACTTGTTCCATCAACCAAAATTTCTTTTTGTAAAATCCCAACTTAATTAGAGTTTGCTTATAATGTTGTTAGGATAAAAAAAACTTTTTTAAAAGATATTTTTTTAATTTCAGCTAAATCATCTAAATAAAGTTAATCAAATTATGGTCATTATAAAATCCATTTTTTTTTAATTACAGCACTCCAATTTACCTCATTTTTTCATTTAATTCATTTTAAATAGAATTCACTACTACACATTAATCATTAGGCAACTTTTGAACTTGTTTTTTCAATCATTTCATCATTTTATTGTTTAATTTTTTTTAGCTTTATTGTTTAAATTTTATATTTAAAATGAATTAAACAATTTCATTTTTTAGTTAATTTATTAATTCTATATAAACTACTTTTTCTGATTCTAGTTGTTGTTGTCATTTATAAGTTGTTTGTGTCTCATAACATTTAAAAAAACTTTTTTGGTTTTTGTAATGAATATATTTATTTACATTAGCTAAACATTGTCTTAGTACCTGCTCCCAAAACAATCTAAAAACAAAATAGTTCACTTTAATAACTATTTTTTGGTGTTTTATTTTCAGCAAAAAACAAAAAAATTGAAATCTCAAATAATTCAAACAGATACAAAAAGGATGTAACCTTCAAATGCTGCTCATTAACATTAGCTAGATCAACTCCTTTGATATGATTAGCTTTGAACAAATTAAGGTACATATGTAAATGTGAAGCCACCATCCATTCCATTACCTCTTCACAAGACCAAGTAGTTACTGGCTGAAATAAAAATATTATTGTTTATTATTTTTATTACTTTACAAAAAAATCTATATATTTAATTATTTATACATTATTCTTTCCATAAACTTCTCTTATTATTACTATTATTATTATTATTTTTATTATTATTATTATTATTGTTATTATATTTATTGTTTTTATTATTAGTTAAATTAGCTTAAAATTTTAAAATTAAATTGAATAGAAATAAATTGCTCGCATATCAGTGCTAAAACAAGCATGCAAAGCATGAACAAGCTAGTATGTTGCCGAGACCGATGCATCAGCATATTGTGGAACTTTTACCACCCTGGGTATATACTGATTTATATATGGTTATGTTCATAAATATATGTACATAACCTTAGATTGAAATTAGAAACTAAGAACTGCATGTTTAGATAAGCAATCTGACATCATTCTAAAATAGCCTGCTGCTGGGGACTTCAGTACATACATAGATCTTAAAGGTTACTGCTACATTAACTAAGGGTTTGGGCTAGACCAACAATCTTTTCTTTCATTACTCTTTGTTTGTTTTTCTTTTTTTGAAAAAGCCATTTGGTACAGACTTGGTCAGGAAGGAGTGCTTTTTCACCCCATAATATGACCACGCAAAAACTATTTGATTTTGAAAACTTAATCACGGCTTATAAGATTATAAGATATGAAAATTTATATACATTTTAAAAATACGCTGAAAAAATTATCTTTATTAGGAAGAAACAAAAAAATGCTTATTCTAAAAGAAGCAAATAAATCTTCATAAAAAAAATTAAAATAATAAATAACGAAAAATAAAATAAAAATAACCCAACTAAAACTAAAATCAAAATAATAAAATTTAAATTTAACTAATATAAATAATAAATTTAACTAATATAAATAATAAATTTAACTAATATAAATAATAAATTTAACTAATATAAATAATAAATTTAACTAATATAAATAATAAATTTAACTAATATAAATAATAAATTTAACTAATATAAATAATAAATTTAACTAATATAAATAATAAATTTAACTAATATAAATAATAAATTTAACTAATATAAATAATAAATTTAACTAATATAAATAATAAATTTAACTAATATAAATAATAAATTTAACTAATATAAATAATAAATTTAACTAATATAAATAATAAACTATAACAATAAGATTATTTAAGTTATGTTTTGAATAAATAAGTTGGAACCTATCTTTACTGTTTTTATAATATAATGTTATGCGAAACCCATTAAAATAAAATAACAACATATATCTAACGATTGCTTAATAAATAAACAATCATATTTTAAAATCTTATAGAATTAAAAAAAATTTTTAATTCTTTTTATTATATAATAGTTTTTTTTTTTTAATTTTATGTAATTAATAATATAAATAAAAATTTATACAACTTTCATTGATACTTTAATTAAAATCATTAGTTACTTCATTTTTTGCTAATATAAAAACGTTAGTAAAGATAAAAATGTTAAAGTTATTTATTTTTAATGTAATTGAAAACCATTTATTTCAGCACATTTTAAAAATGTTAAAAACCTTAGCTAAATTGTCAAAACAAAGTATTATTTTTGTGGCCATATTAAGGTGTGAAACCGCCTTCTTGGCCAAGGCTGATTTGGTATAAGGGTAAGCAAAAAGAGTAAGGTGCCACAATTCATTATTTTTAGAATTAAAATGATATTTATAATATCATGGAAGGAAATACCTTATAATCAAATTCAAATATATGAAGAAATCCTAAAAACGTAATTGTTTCATTTTCTATCAACTGGTAAATTTTATAATTTTTTGGTCTTTTTTTTTAAAAAAAGACTCACACAGAAAACTTTATTCATTTAACTAATAAAATAACCACTTAATGAATGGAATTTTGATATTAAACTGTTTGTAACAGCAAATTACATTTTTGAAGCTATTACAAAAATGTAATTTGCTGTTACAAACCAATTACATTGATGAACAACATTAATATTTAATTTTAATTTCGAGACTTTTTTTAAAATTTATTTTTTTATTTTTCTTTTCAAAAATAGTTTAAATTTTTGTGTTACATTAATTGTAAGTTTCATATCAAAATTTAAATTGTAAGAGTCAAATTTTTAGGCAATTGTGTACATTTATTATTTGTCTATTTATAACTGGATTTAAAACTAATAATTAACATTTATAACCAAACAAAAAAATTGTTAATTTCTAAGGAAAGAAAAACTTCCATGAAGTTTTCTTTTCTTTAACTATTCTTAAAAAGTATTTAAAAGTATTTGACTTTAATAAAGAAGTGATGATGAAAAACTGATGATAAATGATGATGACACAAAAGTATTTTTTAAAATATGCCCATTAAAATTTTTGATTTCTTATGGTAGCAAAATCAATACCATATTAAATGACAAAAAAAGACATTAGGCATTTATACAGGCAGCGAATTCCAGTAAGAAAGTAAAAGATTTCTTTTAAACGCTGGAATATAGAGATGTATATGATGTCCCTGAAAAAGTAACAACAATAGCATTTTACAAAGAATCCACCAATTTTTATTTTGCTCAAACAACTACAGCTTAGATTTGATTAAATTCTTTTCTTACTAAAATTTTAATTAGCTTAGATAAAAAACAATAGCAATTATTAGGAAAATAATTGCTCTAGCTATATGCATGAAAGACGAAGTACTAGATGCTAAAGTTCATAATAGTAATGAATTCTAACCAGTCAATAAAATTGTTAAAACTCACTTAGCTAATGAAAAATTATAAAAGATATAAAATCATAAAATTTTGATATAAAGAATAACAAAAATCATTGGAAGATTAATAGATAATGGATGCAGCATCCATATTACACATAAAATAATGAGTGCAAAATGTGAAAACATTGAAGCTTTGATAGTAAAATTCTTCAAGCAATTTTTAATTAATGCAGTGAGAAATAAAAAGTTTAAAGAGCTTTGCATCAAAATGGATCAAATTTTTAAACATAATCCATTTCAATGTAACAAAGCATGTTTTTAAACATGATCCCTTTCAATGAAACAGACCATGTTTTTAAATATGATGTGTTTCGATAAAAAGCACTTTAAGAAGAAGCACTTAAAGCTTTCAAAAAAAGTCATTTAGCAAAAAGGTTTCTCTCACTTCAGCGATAAATAGAGTTGTAGAAACATAAGTTCTTTTGAAGAGATATTTTAATGATGATTCTTTGAAGAGGTATTTTACTTAATCAATGTCCACCCATCATAGCAAACTTTTTTCAAAATAACACTAGAAAATTTTGGTTTCTGATCATTGCAAATTAAAACATGAACTATAATGATGGTATAAAAATTATAGAAAGATCTTCTACTATTAATTGTATATTTGCAATTGTAGCACCCACTGAATTGAAAGTTCTAAAACAAAAGTAAAATTGAAAAAAATTCAGTTTTCTTCCTCATAAAACAAGAAACTTTAGATTTTAAATGTTTATTATAATTCAGTTATGAACTGTAATTCATTCGTGATTTGTAAGCAGTTTGATGAAAGTATTAAGAAAAAATTATTGTCTTTTAGAAAAAATAAAATTTTATAAATAAAAAATATTTTATAAGTTTGACTTTTTAATATTGAAACAAGTTATGTAAAAAAGTAAATCTGTTGAAAAACAATAGCTTCAAAATATTCAAATGTTAGATGATGCTATTATGGTTTTAAAGAAAATAATTAAAATATGATTTTAAATAAAAAAATAAAAAATCACAGCGCCATCTTTACACAAAAAGTAAATTACAAAAATACAATATAAATAAGTAGTAGATTAATGTCTATTTTTTAATCCTTTTTTAAAGTATGTTTTAAATAAAAACTTTAGGCTAATGCATATAACTCAATACTATTTATCAAATAAATCTAAGCAGGCTGTTAAATTTTTTTCTAAATAAGGCTAGGTTTGAAACTCATTTTAATGGCTCCAAGGCCAGCTTGTAGTAAGGTTTCCCAAACTTTGAGGTAGCACTCAGAGAGGCTGATTCCATTAACAGCTGTAAAATACCAGAATACCAACAGTGCCATACTGCATATAGATAGTGCCTTTGTTAGTACTATTTCTGTACATTGTCAAAAGGATACATAAGGAGCCCTTTTTTACGACTTTCAATTAGCAGTTAATATACAACTTTCAATTAACGAGTCAATTAGCAGGACCAAGGCATCTGCATGGCTTATTGGTTGATTATTTAGATTTTAGACTTGATTTATATTTACCAATGACCTGTATTTCAGAACTTTCAATTCAGTAGATGCTACAATTGCAAATATACAACTAATAGTAGAAGATCTTTCTATAATTTTTATACCATCATTAAAGTTCTTGTTCTAATTTGCAATGACCAGAAACCAAAATTTTTGAGTGTTATTTTGAAAAAAAAAAAGGTATTACTAGCAGCGAAGAGAACAACATTCAATAATAACAACAGCAATCATGAAATTAATTAGTAAAATCATTAAAATCAAACAGATACAACAAAGCTAGTGCATCAATTAAATCAGAACCAAAAAAAAAAGACTGATGAAGAAGCCTTTAGAGTTTTTATTGACAATAGTATGAGTTAATCAGCATATCATGATATTCATATAAAAGATCCAGATTCTATCTGGATTTTCCATATGAATATCATGATATATCATACCTTACCAGTTGATTAAGAAAATGAAAGCTGCCCTGACTAAAAGCTGATTCGGAAAATACCAGTTGAATTAGAAAATGAATGCTGTCCTAATCCAGAAGCTATTTCAATTATCAAGGTATTCATATGGAAGATCCAGATTCTATCTGGATTTTCCATATGAATATCATGATAAATCATACTCTACCAGTTGATTAAGAAAATGAAAGCTGTCCTGAATACAAGCTGATTCAGAAAATACCAGTTGAATAAGAAAATGAATGCTGTCCTAATCCAGAAGCTATTTCAATTATCAAGGTATTCATATGGAAGATCCAGTCTCTATCTGGATTTTCCATATGAATATCATGATAAATCATACTCTACCAGTTGATTAAGAAAATGAAAGCTGTCCTGAACACGAGCTGATTCAGAAAATACCAGTTGAATCAGAAAATGAATGCTGTCCTAATCCAGAAGCTATTTCAATTATCATAATATTCATATGGAAGATCCAGGTTCTATCTGGATTTTCCATATAACCCACCCTAGAAGTTGATTCAGAAAATGAAAGCTAAATGCTGTCCTGCTCCAGAAGCTATTTCAATTACTGATTCTTTAGTTAGAGCAAAAGCATTCATAAAACATACAGCTGATAGAATTGTAAAATTCGTAATGACTATGATCGATGGAAAAGTCTTGGCTTACATCACCAATACTATTTAAAAACTTTGGCATATAAAATTTGCCAAATGGTCACACACGAGCAGTGAACGTCTGAGGGAAGAAATGAAGTACATTAGAATAAAGGAGAATTATTTATTAGACAAAGCATACTTTGACAGTTGTCAAGACAAAAATAAAGATTAATTAGAGGAATATTTAAAAATAAATGCACCAAACAATCACTATGATCGATGGAAAAGTCTTGGCTTACATCACCAATACAAAATCAGAATTGTTAAATCTGCAAAGGTAAACTTATTGAAATGAGTGAAATTGAAAATTTAAATTTGAATAGCTCTAAATCTTTTGAAGGTACTTTAATTTATCACCACTTAATACTTAGACATGGTCTTTTATATGCCTTCTACATGTACCTTATAGACTTGAAATCAAAACTTGTACAGTAACTAAAAAGTTCATAGATAAGTACACTGAGCTGAAAAAGTTGATTAAAAAAAATGTATGATGCATTTGGACTCAAGGTGGACATGCCAAGATCTGAAGGAGTAGAAACCAGCACAATGGGCAATGTCTGTCGTAAAGCATTTTCAAATTCAGCATTGTTAGTGCATTGTTAGTGAAGATCTCGGTATAGATAAAAATTTGATAATAAGATTTAACAACATTCTTATTACAATCAATTGCAGTATTTCTATTGACTCAACTAAGTTTGCAAACTATTGTAACAAAACTTTAAAATTTTTCTTAGATTCTTATGGTATTTGGTACAAAATTCCTGCTTTAATTTACAAAACCCTTGCACATGGTGCTGATATGATAATACAACTTGTTTCTCTGCACAGCACCCATGTTTATCAAGTTTGTGTTTTGGAATCATGGAGTTGAGAGCAGGTTGTAACCACAAAAAAAGTAGCCTACTTGACAGTAGTGACCTTCATGGTCTTGGGGAGGTGAGTTAACATTAAAAAATATATATATTTATCATTTTAAATTTACCTCTTGCAGTTGTTACATTAGAGGAAAAAGCTTCAGAGTGTAGAAACAGGTTCTATTCCAGAGATCATGAAAATTATGTTAGAAAAAATTCAAGAGAATTATTAGATGTATTTAAGCAAGCAATGAATACTTCTCAGTTGTTCCATATCTTTAGCTAAAATAAAGCAGCCTGAAGCTGTAAAAAGTATGTTTATGTAACAAGACACTGATAATACCACAACTAGAGCAAAAACTGACACAGACAGCATAATGAAAGACTTAAAAAATGTTATGAAATTATTAATCATGATGTCGGTGTAGAGAAATCACTGAAGAGGAGTTGAAAACAGAAGATGGTGATTAAGACTTGATATTATTAACTTGATATGTACTTAAATATAATTATGTAAAAAAAATAATAAATTATAAATTTCTTTAACTTTTTTTTTTATTTTTATGTTATACCTAATTCAAGTTTGATTAAATCTTTCTAGAAATTGAGCCCCAAAATAACATTCAAAATATTAGCTCAGGAAACAAACTTTTTAAAAGAAAGTAAAAATTTTATTTCATTAAATTTTTTCACATAATAGAAATATTTCAAATTTTCAACTTTAAGGCTTAATTTTTCAGTCAAATTTGAATCAAATTTTATGAAATGTTTTCTGGGAGTCAACTACAGTATACATTTTAAAACAACACTGAAAACTTTAACTTTTAAAAAAGATTTCTTTTATTGCCACCTGTTTGTATAGAAGCATCCCACTGTGCACCACAGAAAACCATTTAACAAGGAAATTTATGCCACCTTACTTAACAATGTCCTTTATATGGATAAAGCATGTATCAAACCTCAATGATGATCTAAGATTCAAAGATTGATGCTGTATTCTGCTTATAAACTATTTATATTGTATTCTGCTTATAAACTATTTATAGTGTAGGACTGCTTATAAACTATTTATAGTGTAGAAATGCTTATAAACTATTTATAGTGTAGAACTGCTTATAAACTATTTATAGTGTAGAACTGCTTATAAACTATTTCTAGTGTAGTACTGCTTATAAACTATTTATAGTGTAGCATTGGTACAAATAAATTTACTTTTTTTATCAACTTGCTCTTGAAAATATAATTTTATTAACAATATAATTTAATAACAATATAATATATAATATAAAATTAACAATAAAATTTTATAGCAACTTTCTCTTGAAAAAACACTTTTAATACCTTTAAAATAGAGTCTCTTGATAAAGAAAAAGAAACACGCAGACATTCTTTTTGAAAAACTCTATGACATCCAATATGAGTACAGCGCAAACACTCTGGAAAATTTAATTTTAATCTCTGTATATTTTATATGTAAAAATAGAAATTTTTAAGTTTTTTGGAATATGAACTTAAAAATTGAAATATGGCTAGAAACAATTGGCTAGAAACAAATGTCACAACTTTTACTTTTTGAACATAATGTATGCATTAATTTCTAACACTACTTAACATAAATTATGCAGTGGTGGTACAGTGATAGTGCTTACTTCATATACAAAATAAAAGCCTTAGGTAGTTGAGTATAATGTAAAAAAATTAAAAATAAAAAACAATAGTAATAATTTCTTACTTGTACACATAAAAGAAATTCTTGAACCTCCCCAAATGTACTCATCACCTAAATATAGTGATCAAGCATAAAAAAGAAAAATTTTAAAATTATTAAATAATAGAAAAATATACAAGATACATTCAAACTATCTTACAATTTTCACACCACATTGGCCTTTTTATATTCACTTTTTCAATATGATGGTTTGATATATAAAAAAATTTTGAACGGTTGGGATCTAAAAAAACAAAAGAATAAATTAATAACAAGAAATAAGAAAGAAAAATTTATAAATAAAAAAAAGATAATAAGTAATCATACAACAAAATAAACATTTTTAAAATGGTTTTTCAACATATCAAAATTTGTAATATTTTAATTTACTTAAACTTTAAATTGATTTAAGAAATGAACAAATTTCATCTGTTGACCAGCTTCCCACCCCTTCTCTATCTAGAAGGCTGGCATAAATTTATTTATAATACATTGTTTCCAGTTTAGGATGTTGAATGCTGGATCTTCTTGACTCAATGCATAAGTTTCGCATGCATCTCTGTTATTATGACTTGGCAACTCATTCTGTTATCTCCTAATGAGGGTACAGCTCTAAAACTCAGTTTTATTGTTCTGAGGCCAGTTGGTAGTCAGGTTTCCCGAATTCTGTGGAAAAAGCTCTCAGGGAAGCTGATTCCATCAACAGCTGAAAAATATTAAAGTATTAACAGTGCCATGTTTCATATGGATGGTGTTCCTATTCATACTTTTAGTGTGTGGTGTTGAGGTCATATTAAGAGCCCTTTGTTATGACTTACTATTAAATAGTGTACTGAGTAGTATTTGTGCTTTGAGTCAAGTTCTTTAACAAATTTAAAAATGAATAAAGTACCAAAAACTATAAAACACAAAAAACCATTGTCATCACCAAGTTCATTAAATTTATCATTCGCTAATATTCCTGGTTTTGAAGTAACTTTTCTTCTGTTAAGTCTTATCTCTTACAAAGGTCACCAGTCCTACTTTGTGAGACTAATTTGAGTTCAGCTGATTCACCTTGTGATCTTAGTGTTGATGGTTACTTTCCTTTAATTCATAAAGACTAATTCACATGCTTGGTCTAGGCATTTACATTCGTAAAAATTCACTCATCTGTTGGGAAACTAGCTTTGAATCTACAGATTAACCTTTCATGTGCTTTCGCTTAGCATCACTTCATTCTATTACCTTTCTCTTTGTTCTATATTGCTCTTTGTGAGACTAATTTGAGTTCAGCTGTCTCACCTTGTGATCTTAGTGTTGATGGTTATTTTCCTTTAATTCATAAAGACTAATTCACATGCTTGGTCTAGGCATTTACATTCTTAAAAATTCACTCATCTGTCGGGAAACTAACTTTGAATCTACAGATTAACCTTTTATGTGCTTTCATTTAGCACCACTTCACTCTATTACCTTTCTCTTTGTTCTATGTTGTTCTTTTTTATCTCAAGACTGCACTCTTTTTGATGCTATTTCTGATCAAATTGATCAAGCCCTCTTTCTTTGTCCATAAGCCAATTTTGTTTTTGTTGGTGACATCATCACACTGAATAGCTTGGCTCTAGTGTCAGTGACTCTGCACCCGTTAAACCCCACAACTTTTGCCTTTCTCAATCCTTAACTCAAATAGTCATCTTTCCAATTTGCTTTCCAGACAAATCAAATCATTTATTTTCTCTACATTCATACCCTGAACCTTTTTGAATATTGTGTTTGTAACATATCGCACACCGTCTTTGAGCATTAATCTTTTATTATCATTTTCAATAACCATTCATTAAATATATCTTTTCATTATTGATTCATCAAATGTATAAAATTCTATCTTTTCGTGAGTAAATGTTTACACTTTGATAAGTATTTTTGCACTAAAAGAATTTCCTTATTTGTCGTATTTAAAATTAAATTGAACACGTTTAAAAGACAATTATTGAAACAAAGGCTCTGTAATTATCTAGTAATAACTTTTGTGACAAGTAGACATATAATTACTGATGAACAAGAAGGAAATATAAAGAGATGCACAAAACCAAAATATTACGGAATGGACATTTAGAAACCACTTTTAGTTTGCGTAATATTACGGCATGGACTGTTAATGGGTTAAATGTTATATTTTAATTTTTTTTTAGTAGGTATGTATTTTTTAAGATAAATTTTAACATTTGAAACAATTTTTCTGTGTCTTTCTAAAAATCTTTCAAAATATTATTTTTTAAGTTACTTTAAATTATGAATAAGTTAAGTTACTTTAAATTATGAATAAGTTAAATAACATCTTCCCATGATTTAATTGCTTTATTTTTTTATTTTTTTTACAAAGAATTGTTTAAAATTTTTTTTTTTTTAAACTTGACTAATTAAAACTTGAAATGATTAAAAATTACAATTTTAAAAAGACTTATTTTTTTAAACAGTTTTTTTTTTGCAACTTTTTGAAAAAAATGTTTATACAACTTAAAAATATTATTTTTTTTCTTTTAAATAATTCAATTTCACTTTTCAATAATTTTAATAAGATTTATTTATTTATTAAATAATCAATAGATGTAATTTGTAAAAGGGTTTTGCGTAACTTTAGTAAAACGTTTTAAAATATAAGTTTTTTCAAATATAACTAAACACCTAACAGAAAGTAATTTTAACTTTTTTTAGTTTTATTTTAAGGCTAATTTATTGTCTTTTACGTTTTGTTTACAAGAATTGAATTAATCAATCGCGAAATAAAAAATCCGTAAAAAAATCTGGTCTTCAAAACTTTAGTTTATGCAAAACTGTGTCAATTTAAATTTGTTTGGGAAAAATTTATAAAAAATAAAATAATAAACTTATGACTACAAAAGTAATAACATTCAAAAAAAAGTAACTGCATTATAAAAATAATAAGTTAATAAGTAATAAGTTTAGACCACAAATATTTTAGCATATTATAATGAACCCTAGGAATTCTTTGAAGTAAATATTCTATTTTTGCAAGTGCTAATATATATAGATGTGATAAAAGTAACTAACTGCATTATAAAAGTAATAACATTATAATAGTGTTATTATTTTTATAATGCACTTTTAATTTTTATAATTCATTTTTTTTTCAAACAACATAAGTAATCTCAAATTTTAATTGAAGTAGAAAAGTATCTAGAAAAATAGAGTGGATTTCTGCCAAAGTTCAATCCAATAAGCTTGTTGCCAAAAAATATTGTTTTACCATCATGAATAACTGCATAACCAAGTTATGTATTATGCAAAATATTCTAGCATACTCAAACTAGTTACGTTAACATTATGACTTTTGGTTAATCATTAAGAAAGTGGGACATTCCCTTTATATTGCAAAGCTACACATAAGCAATGATCAATTTTTATTATTTCCTGATGGAAAATGTGTCAATAGATCAATTGTTAAATTGTAATAAATTACACAATTAAATTGCATAAATAGATCTTTTAGAATCAGCCTCTAAAATGTAACACACATACACAAATAGCAACAAAAAAATTAATGAAATCGACCTATGTTATCCCATAGTAGGGTTATTATTTATCAAACATTATACACAATGACTAAATGATGTTACCCTAGTTATTGGAGTAACATTAGCTACATTTCAAAGTTTAAAAAAAGATATTTGTAATAAATTAAAAAATAAATTTTGGGGAAAAAATCAACTTTGGAATTAGTAAAACTTAGATATACTAACCGTACTAAACCTTTCAAAATAAAAAAAAACAAACGACACTGAACAAGCTAATTTAAAGGTGGTGTAAACTCTATATTTAATTAGAAAATTAAAAAATAAAAATAAAAATAAAAACCTTAACAATCCAAAAAATCAAACTATATATAATTTATTTCAAAAATATATAATTTAACAAATTTAGCAAATTACTGCTTTTAAAACTGATATGGGAGACAATTATCTTTGTCAGATTTTTTTTATTTTTGTTTATTTCTTTGTTTGTTTGTTTTGTTTTGATAACAAAATTTGTTCCACCACAACTCGGTATTTTTAAAAGGTTTTTTATACCTTTAGTTGTATAATATGTCTGATGATTGCATTTAAGCATGAAACTATCTGTCTCATATAATATAGGCCCTATTAATGTTATTAGTTACTTTAATTAGTTTTGTTTTTAAGTTTTTTGCATTTGCAAGTGCATAATCACCGCTGCAATCACATTTTAATTTGTTAATAAAAGTAGTAACGATATTGGTTACTTTTTTATTTTACTGTTATATTTTATTTACACTTTATTTTAATTGCTATTCCCTAATTCATCTATTTTTTCTATTTATCTCTTTCTCCCATTTCCAATGTAACAAAAATTAAACTTGATGAAATGAAACATAATTGTTTTTTATAGTTACTCAACTATTAGTGTTAACTAACAATTCAGTTTTAAAAAAATTAAATAATATAAAAAAAGGTAAATAAAAAAACCTGGTTTTGGTTTAGATGGTCGTGGTGGTGGTGTGTTTTCATTAACAATAGTACAATATTTTCCGGGAAATCGACCTATCGCTTTTGTTCGCATATTCACCCCTTCCAACAAACCATAAGGATTTTCTACTGGTTTTTTAACGTAGCATTCATCTCCAACTTTGAGTTCAATCTCACCTTCTTTTGGGAGATAATCGTGATTGACAACAAAAACCACAAAATCTCTTTCTCCCATTTCCAATGTAAAAAAAATTAAACTTCATGAAGCTTATTTTCAAACATAACTTTTTTTTTTTCAATTTTTTTTTCTCTGTTAACACTAGTAAGTTTTTAAATAAATAAACTATTTAAACTTAAAAATATATAAATAAAAAAAAATCATAACTACAAAGAGTTTAAAAATAAAACAAATAAAAAAACTAAATTAGCCTCTGTTACCAAAAGAATGAAAAAAAAAAATCTATTTTTCATCATCATTTAATGAACTATTTTAATTTTCCTATTCAATGTCATTTATTCATGGTGTTATTTGCTTCCAAATTACGATATTTATTCATGGTGTTATTTGCTTCCAAATTACGATATATTTTATAGTAAAAATAGCCACAAAAAATACAAAAAAAACTTTCAAGTATTATTTCAAAAAAAAAAACTGAAAGTATTGACAAATACATTTTTAAAAAAACATTTTTTTAACAAATCGAAAATCTTCTGAATGTCTTTAAAATTGAATAAAATGAATGAAAAGAGAGCTCAACAAGATTTAGATATTAAAAAAAAAAGCAAAAAAATAAAAACATTTTTCATACAAATTAGTTATCAATAAAAATAGCTATCGAGCTTGTAATAAAAAATAATAGTTGATGTTAAATATATTTATATTATTATTGTATTCATTGATGAAATATCTTTCTATATACAAAGTAACCCAAAATATCTTTATAATGTTATACAAACATTCAAGACAATTACAATTGAATCAAGCGTCGTTGAAATTTGATTTGAAAATCTATAAGAGCACTCCATTTTTCAAATAACAAATATTGTGTTTACAGATATTTTATATTTGGATCCATCTCAACCATCTATTTCTAAATCCATAAAAAAGATAAAAAGAAAAACATATTTTAAAATCTTGATAAAAAATTTCATTTCACTTTATCAGTTCAATGGTAGTGTTTTCTATACACAATTTAGGCAGCTGCAGCAATGTAGCAATCAAGTACAATAAACAAGACTACTTCTGAAAGTGAAATGAGATGATGCTAAATTTGATACATACAGAATTGTATATTCTCTAATGATATGAACTAGTCAGTTTCTTGTTTAATCATGGTTAGCTTTTAGTCATTTTTTGAATAACTCCACAAAGTAATTGAAACTTCAGATTTTATCTGTTTTTTCTTCCTTTTTTATGTTTTGCTTTAAATGAATCAGAACTAGAAAATAAAAAGTATAAATATAATCAGAACTAAAAAATAAACAAAAAGAATTAAAGCTTTCTAAAAAAAGTCTATGAAATTAGGTTGTTCATATGGATAAAAATCATCTTGCCTAACCGAGATAGAAAAACTACCAAGATCTACATCAGGGAGTTTTTCTCGATGTGTAACTACATCCGCCTAAAATAATGCATTATTAAATAAAATAAATTTCCGGACATAGTTACATCAAAAAAAAATCAGATGTGTAACTACATCTGGTTAAAATAATGCATAACTAAAAAAAATAAAAATACGAATGTAGTTACATATATAAGTTACACATATAACTATTATATTATATAAGTGCTGCTACATTGACTGACAAATTGTCTGACTCGCTACAGAGTGCTGCTACATCAACTGAGGGTTTTGTTTAAGGAAAAAAAATTTTATTATGCTTAAAATAATGCACTATAATAATTTTTTTTTGAGGATGTAGTTAAATCCAAAAAAAATCAGCTGTGTAACTACATCTGGTTAAAATAATGAATTATCAAAAAAATATTTTTTTTCGGATGTAGTTACATCCATGAACTTCTATAGATGTAGTTGGACAGATGTCATTATACATCAATCAAATTTGGGATGTTGTTGCATGGATGTTATTATACATCAATGAAATTTTGTATGTTGTTGGACAGATGTTATTATACATTAATAAAACTTGGGATGTTGTTATACATCGATGGAATTTCATATGTTGTTGGACAGATGTTATTAGACATAGCAAAAATGAATGTTGTTACCCTGACCTATCCTGGTTAGGCAGGCTGAAATTTCTTCATATTAAAACAAGCTGAAAACCATCCCAGGTAGATTGGACAGCTTTAATACAAAAATTAAACAACATCTGCTTGTTTTTTAAATTTAATTTGTTTGACCATTATTGCTTATAATTTTTTAACATTTGTCTTTTTTTTTGTTAGTTAATTATAAATTATTTATAATATTTAATTTGAAAGAAAAAACTCAATATCATCAAACTTTTAATATGCATATAGTAAAAGTTCAAAATTATTTAATAATTTTTTTGTAAATCAAAGTTATTATTAAACTGTCATTTTTTATTTTTAAATTTAAAAATTAATGTGAATGATTTTTTGCAAACAAACACCACACGACCTTAAAAACCTCTTGCTTGAGTGAGAAGTTTTTTCTATATGAACACGAGCTGAAATTCATCCTGCCTGTCTAAATACCTTAGTTAAGCATGACGGTTTTTCTCCCTTAGAGAAAACTATTCTTTATAAGGACTTGAGTACTTAATTCTTAAGAATAAATTTTGAACTATATGGAGTAAATGTGCTTTTTCAGCAATTAATTAAATTTATCGTGAAAATTTGAAAACTAATTTTTTGGAATGATCTAATTATGGGTATCATAAATCATACATACATGATAAATACCCATCATATATCATACATATATACTGTATATATGAAACCCATCATAAATCATATATGGGTGTAATATAAAGATATATATGAAGAGAGTTCATTATACTTTTAAGTAATCAAAAAATACACCTATATTGTATTGGATGACAAATTTCTATATTCTCTCCTCTTACCATTTTGATTTTAAAAACCCACATATTGTAACTGCATTTTGTAACTGATTGCAATAAAATGAAAATGAAAATTGTAATAACTTTTTTAAAAACGCCTTAGACATAAAATTACTTTTCTGTACAAATATCTTAAAAATATCAATAGTAGCAAAAATAAAGATCTTTTTTAAAAAGTTCCATGAGCCTTCCATGACTTTAAGTGAAAATTTAGGAATTCCACATTTTTTCCATGACCAAATGAAATTTTATAACATTACAGGGTTTCCCACATCATTTCAACATTGTATCATTCAACTTTGACATTGTATCAATACATTTTGAAAATGTTGCAATTAATTTCCATACAATGCATTTGATTTCAACTGTTGCATTCAATTTCAACACTATTGCATGCAATTTCAACAGTGCTAAGAATATTTTAATTACTATAAAATAAAACAGTTAAATTCTTAAATTATTTTCAATAACACAAATTTTTAGTTTGCATGCAAACTAAATTTTAAAGAAAAAATTATCAAGTTAAAAATATTGTAATTGAAAATAATCGCTAATTAAAAAATAACAATGCAAATGTAAGTTTATTCATCAATAATTGAATCTTTTCTTGAACACGGAATCCTATACCTAAACATGTGCCAAAAATAACTATTTATAACTAATTTATGTTAGCAATATTTAATACACCATTTTAAATATTTCCAAATAGTTTTGCTATCCGTTTGAATATTTTCAAGTAGTTGAGGTTTAGACAAACATTTTGTGATAAATTGTTTCCATTCAGAAAATCTATATTTAGTAGAATATTTTTCAATAATTGAATAGATTCTAGTTCATTTAAATTCAAGAATATTTGGAATTTCTGGTGAATTTCCATTAAAATAAGATTTAATTATACTTGAAAAGTTTTAATTGTTAATTGTTTGGTTCAGCATTAATGTTAATAAATAATGAAGAAGATATCTAAGTTTTAAATTTGAGCTCTGTTTGTATTATCGCAATGAAGGGACAAATGTTTTGGATATTAAGGATGTTTTTGTTTTTTAGATTAAATAAAAAATAAAACTATAACATTTAACTATATTAAAATATAACAGAGCTTGATGACAATTCATTTTTATTAGAATATTTAATAAGTGGAGATTTTTATGGCAAATAAAAATAATTAATATTGCAATTAAAAGTAATTATAATGGTAACTTGAAATAATTAATATGTACATGATTTATTTTACACATTTATTATTTCAGTATTCACTTTGAATTAAAACTTTTAGAATTAAAAAAATAGCAAAATTAATTTTTTATTGTTCCTTGTTTGTTGATTAAATATAACCCATTATTATTTAAAAAAAATTTTTTATCATAAATATGAAAATCCAGGTATATAAAACATGTGAATATATATAATTTATGTATATGTATAATTTACATATATGTAAATGTAACATGATTTTAAGGTTTATACTCAAATGACAGATATGTAGAAGTTTATCATTTTCCATAAGAGTATTTTTTAAAAGTATATCCAAACATACTTATATGTATTATATGTATTTATATTTATTATTAATTAATAAAACGTAATATAAATATATCAAGTTAATAAAAATAACTTTTGGTGAGAGTGGGATAAAACACTAAAAAACATAACTTTATTTATATTAATTTATTTTCTTTTTTTTTTTTAAATCCTATACTTTTTTTAAAATCCTATGCTTAAAAAAATATAAAAGTCAGTGTAACCCCCCACTCTCCCCAATTATATAGGTTTACAAACATAAGTAACCTTTCAGTTTCACGAAACTTTTTTCTATTTTGTTGTTTTAAATTCACACTGCCTAGCCTGCAATATACTTGGTGCGTATTGACTTGAAGCGATTGATGCAATCTGTTACATTTAGCCCATTCTGTTAGTTCATAAATCTGTTAAACAAAAACTTTGGTTTATTAGTTGAGCAAAAATGTTACAAAGAAAAAATTCAACTTAAATACTAGGGTATTATTTTTTCCAGTCCTAAAAACTAATTTTTTTTAGATTAAATTAACATATAATTGTTAGAAATTATCTAAATATATAAAATAAATAAGTTCAAATACAAAAGTTCATTAGAAACTATCATTTAAGACAATATTATTAAAGAAACAAAATTTCACTTTGGCTGACTTTCCATTTTTCCAATTCATTCCAATTTACATAAATCTTATTCAAACACACAAATCGAAACATATACTGTAAAATAAAGTTTTTTGACTATTTTGATATCTTTAACTAGCTGCTTGTGCTGAAAAGGTCTACATTTTGCAAACATTTTGAATAATTTTAGCTAGCCTCCGGCAAAAAGATATACAGTTACCAAATATTTATGTTTGGTAACTGTATATCTTTATTTTGGTTATTAAGAAATTTAATTCATATTCAATTTTTTATATTGCGAGTACATTCTTGTGTACTATTTAGATTTTAACAATTTCCTGCATCTATAAGGATTCACAGCTTATAATGATCCACAATATGTAAGAAATAACTTACAAATATTTATATTTAATAATATATTTCAAAGTACTAAATTAATTATTACAAATTAACTTTGAGCTATTTTTTTTTTTTTTAACATTTTTACTTTCAAAAATACTGCAAGCAACCACTCTTAGAGAAGTTATTGGAAGAAAAAATAAAGTTTATAAAGCAAAATAGCAATTAACAGATGACTTGAATGATTGCTTAAATAAGCACTTCAAATAACACAAAAAGGAATGCAGTGACACCTTGGTCTTATTACTATAAATATTTATATGTTGTATAAATGCATACAGTTGGTGGTAATAAAATATAGGCTACAATAATTCAATTTTATGTAATAAATTTATGCTTCATTACATAAAAAATTAAACATTAAAACATCGATCAACTCACTTGGTTATTAAAACATGCATAGCAAATCCATGAAACACCAAATGAATTTGATTCAGCCCATACATCACCATCATTTGCTAAATGATGGTCCTTGCACTCACCACAGTACCTACCTTGAGTATGTTTTCGATTTTCTTGTAATGTTTTCCGGTGTTTTCCGCCACAACTGGTACAAGGTATTGTATTCATAAGTTTATCAATAAAACTTTTTAATTCAGAGTTTTCAAACTGGCGATTTAATTCTTCATGTTGCCGTTCCATTTCTTCTTTTTCACTTTGTTTTAAACGAGAGTCTTCATCATATATTTTCTTGAAAGCTGCATCTAGAACTAAAAATTACAAATAAATGACAAAAAAATAATGAATATAATTTTAAACAATTTATTTTAAAGATGCAAAATTTATAAACCAAAAAAAATACTTTTAAAAGCTTCTGCTGCTGATGGGTCATCGCATTTATCAGGATGCACCAAACGAGCAATTGCTCTGTAATTTGAACGAATCATTTCACCTGAAGCTGTTGTACTAACACAAAGAGTCCTAAAAACATTTTTATATAAATATATATATATATATTTATTTATATAAAAATATATATATATATACATATCGGGTGGACACGGAAAAATCCGGTCATCTTTAAATTAAGATTTCTCCAAAACCACAAATGCTTTTTATTATTATTTTTTTTTAAGTAAACCTTACTTCCTTATCTTAAATAGTGTTGATAAATTTTTGTTTACAAACTAATGATTTGCAAAATATTTTGGAAACAAGTTGAGGTGCGTAAAAAAGTTGTGAATTTTTTTTGCAAAAATCCATCGACTTCCTATCGCTTGATTGCTAAACGCACAAATGTCCCAAAATCTACAGTCATAGATATTATAAACAAGTTCAAGACTACTCAAAGCTTCGAAAGAAAACTTGGAAGTGGAAGAAAAAAAACTTTCCATAAATCTAAAAAGGTAAAGTCGATTTTACGTTCAATAGCAAGAAATCCAAATCAGTCACAGCGAGATCTAGCAAGAAAATTCAAGACTTCTCGTTCTTATATAAAAAAAGTACTTAAAAATGCTGGAATTAAAGCATTTCATAAAAAAAATACATCTAAGAGAAGCTTAAATTGTGAAATTAAAGGAATTCGACGCGCAAAGAGGTTGGTTAAAATAATGGCGGATAAAAATATGTGCATAATTGAAGACGACGAAACGTATTGCAAGGCGGATTTTTCACAACTTCCTGGTCAACAGTTTTACTATGAAAACAAAGATAAACCTGTCGATGATCAAAATTTGCATCCAAGTTCTTTGTGTGGCAAGCAATTTGTAGCTGTGGTATGCAGTCCTCTTGTTTTGTCACTAAAAAGACCTTGACTGCCAATCTCTACATCAAAGAATGCCTCCAAAAAAGACTTTTGCCTTTTATAAAAAAATACAAATACCAATGTCTCTTTTGGCCCGATCTTGCTGCGTCTCACTATTCTAAAAAAGTTTTACAGTGGTGCAAAGATAATAATGTGAAAATTGTTCCTAAAGATGCGAATCCTCCAAATCGTCCTGAAGAGCGCAAGATTGAAGATTTTTGGGCAATAGTTAAAGGAGTTCTTCGTAAGACAGGTGGACTAACAAATAATAAAAAGGACTTTCAAAAAAAGTGGATTAATGCCACCAATATGGTGAAAAAAAAAAAAATCTGTAATATGATGGCATCAACCCACTATAAAGTTCGATTTCTTGCCAAGCAACCCATCAAGCCCCTTAAAGTTAAGTTGAAACACTAATTTAGGTAAACACATTTAATAATAAAAAAATTGAAATAAAAAGCATTTATGGTTTCAGAGAAATCTCAATTTAAAGTTGAACTGATTTTTCCGTGTCCACCCGATATATATGTTCACACTTATACACACACACACACACACACACATACACATACATATATACACACACACATAAATATACATACACACATATATACACACACTATATCTTCATGCTCCACTAATATTCTGTTTTAATGATATATATCTCTACAATTGCTTTATCAGATTAAAAATAAAACTTTACACTTTTAGCACAGCAATAATCGATATTTAAACAAAACAAAAACTTTTCTTGCACAAAAACAAAGCACGTCAAATAACTTCAAAACAAAACACTTTTTATAATTCATATAATACAATTTGCCTTCAAGCAGCAAATACTTAAACTGTATATTTTATTTTCTTGAACACAACCCAGAATGCTAGATTTTTGAAAATGTTTCAAAAAATTAAAAAGTTATTATATAAGCAAAATAATTTAGCAAGCATCAAACCAGAAGGAAATTCAGCAAAAAATCTCCAACATAAGACACTTTTAGGTTCAAATAATATATATTGGGTGATATGATCAAAAAGATCATTTAACCCAATATATATTATAGTATAAAACTTTTTTATATTTAATAGTGTACACATTTATTATTATTATACATTTAATTAACAATATTCTAGCATAAATTTATGACACCACATTTTCATACTTTTATTATCTTTATTATTATTATTTTTAATATCATAATTTTATTACTATTTATTAGTGAGGTTTAGAAACTGCTGCTTTTAATTTTACCCAACAGTTTTTTATAGGGTTTAAATCAGGCAAATTGCCCAGTCACTTGCAAGGACATTAACTGCATTTTCTTAATCCAGTGTCTTGATAATTTTTGTTTGTTAATTTGTTGTGTTTTGCATGAAAATCTTGAACTTTCTAATTTTAAACCAATTAGAAACTCCTGACATGCTGCCAATATTTAAACAGTCTAATCTAGATGTTCTTTACAAAATTTAACACAATATAAATATTAAAAACATTCACTAGGAAGCAGTTAAGTAAGAATTTGTGCATTTGAAATATGTATATTTCATAAAGCCAAGCAATGTATCATGTTGTGGGTTTTTGGATTGGTAATTCTTGGTCTTTCACAGCTTTTTCCTAGATTGATGCCACCTGTTGACTTAATGAGCTGAATGATATCATGAACAGTTGTTTTATAGATCTTCAAATGTGTAGCAATCATTCATTCAGACTTACCATCATTTATTAAAAGTTGTACTTTATACACAATTAGAAAGTGATGCTGTGGCCATACTTTATTCAAAAATGATTGAATTAGATGATTTTAATGACAAATTTCAAATACATTTGATTTTTATACCAATCATTTACTGTTAGGCAAGCAAAATACTTTGGCTTAGTGATCCAAAATATATATTTCTTCAAACCAGCTTTTGTTTAAACAAATCTTAGTAAGTTATTATAAGTTAGTTATAATTTGTCATTACTAACAATGGCATACTCCTACATGAGCATAAAGTGAGCACAATACACAAATACACTTATGATGAATGGCCACTAAAAGGTTGTATATTGTATCTAATGTGGCTATACAAAAATGTAAAAACTTTAAATAATAACAGTACCACAAAAATATAACTTTAAATATTAGCAGTAGCACAAAAGTATAACTTTAAACAATACTAGTAGCACAAATGTATCAAACAAAAAACTTGAACTATAGCAGCAGTATAAAAATATAAAATTCACAAAAAACGTAAAACATTTCTATATATTAAAAATCTCACTTAAAAGGTCGATTTTCTTTTTGCTTCAGTAAATACTGAATAGCTTCTTTTGATGTACTTGGAAGTACACCAGTAAATAAATCTTCATTATCAGCCACTTTTGTCTTTACAAACTTACGCAAATTAATGCCAACTAATAACTCTGTAAGGTTTAAAGATGCTGAAAAAAACTTTTTCATTCTATTCCATATATCAAACTTGTTATTTATAACACACCAAAGATGGTTAATTCTAAAGATTTAATGAGAAAAACAAACTTAGTACTTTTAAATTTAAAACTTATCAACAATCAGTACTTTTAATAAAAATATAAAATATAACTTTTTTACTGTTACTAAAATTTAATTTTATATTACATTATTTCAAATGTTCTTTTAAGACAGTCAAACAGACACCATTATTAATGGTGTCTATTTGACAATTACAATTCATTCTAAATATTTGTGTAGAAAATTATCAAATTATATATATATATATATATATATATATATATATATATATATATATATATATATATATATATATATATATATATATATATATATATATATATATGTATATATATATATATATATAAATATATATATATATATATATATATATATATATATATATATATATATATATATATGTATATATATATATATATATATATATATATATATATATATATACATATACTAAATTTTATTATTTGCCCTGAAGGTCGCTCAAAGCCCCTAAACATTTGACAGGTCCCTAATATTATTGAAAAAAAAATTATTTAAAAATATGTCAACTTGGTACTCAAAAGAAGCAAAATCATTTAAAAATTTCAAAAACAAAAAGTATTTTTTATAAAAAAAACAATATTAGGTTTTTTTGAATAAAAACTATGGTTTTTAAACGAAAAATGAAAAAAAGGTAATATTCACAACATTTTTTAAGTTGTTTATTTAAGTTGTTTTTTATAAAAAATTAATCTAATTTTTAAAATTTTTATAAAATTTTGCTTCTTTTGAGTACCAAGTTGACATATTTTTAAATATTTTTTTTTTTAATAATATTAGGGACCTGTCAAATGTTTAGTGGCTTTGAGGGACCTTTAGGGCAAATAATAAAATTTAGTAAAAAATATTTTTGAACCACAATATGATAGTTGAATGGGAAAAACTTCAATTAGCTATGTTCTAAAAACAAATTAGCATACTGAACAGCCCTAATACCAGGTATACCGGTATGAAGTGAGCGTCAAGATACAAATGTCTCGATAGGGAACATTTGTTGTGAACGAGCTTTTATTTTTTTTTGTTTGTTTGCTATGACATCTGTGAAACATATTTAGTATACATCAAGTCATTGAACAGACAACATCATATTTTTTCATTGTGTTAAAAATGTCGAATTTTGTACCGGAAAGTGATGATTTGCGGAAAGCATTAATTTTTTGTTTTCATTTGAAGAAAAGTGCTGCAGAGTCGCATCGAATGCTTGTCAAGGCATATGGTGATCATGCTCTATCAGAAGCAACATGCAAAAGATGGTTTCAACGGTTCAGAAATAATGATTTTGATGTGAGAAATGAAGAACGTGGAAGACCACCAAAAAAGTTTGAAGACGTCGAATTGCAAACGATATTGGATGGAGATGACACTTTGAGTCAAAAGCAAATGGCAGAAATGTTAAATGTTGCACAACAAACAATTTCTGACCGTTTAGAAGCTATGGGAAAGATCCAAAAGTGTGGAAAATGGGTGCCACATGAATTGAATGAAAGACAGATGGAAAACCGAAAAAACACTTGTGAAATTTTGCTTCGAAAACTCGAAAGAAAATCGGTTTTGCATTGGATTGTTACTGGCGATGAAAAATGGATTTATTTTAAGAATCCTAAACGGAAAAAATCATGGGTTAATCCGGGACAACCATCAACATCGACTGCAAAACCAGATCGATTCGGCAAGAAGACAATGCTGTGTGTTTGGTGGGACCAGAAAGGTGTGGTGTTCCACGAGCTCCTAAAACCTGGTGAAACCGTCAATACTGATCGCTACCGACAACAAATGATCATTTTGAACCATGCATTGATCGAGAAACAACCAGAATGGGCCAGAAGAGAGGGCAAGGTAATTTTGCTCCATGATAATGCACCTGCACACAAAGTAAAACTGGTTCAGGATACAATCAAAACACTTGGCTGGGAGCTGCTACCCCACCCGCCGCATTCACCAGACTTGGCTCCTTCCGACTAGCATTTGTTTTCATCGATGGGACACGCATTGGCTGAGCAGCACTTTGATTCCTACGAGGAGGTCGAAAATTGGGTGTCTGGTTGGTTTGCTTTAAAAAACGAACAATTTTATTGGCGTGGTATCCACAAATTGCCAGAAAGGTGGTCAAAATGTGTAGAAAACAATGGCCAATACTTTGAATAAAATGTTTTATACTTTCCCATTAATAATTATTTTCACAAAAAACGCTCATTTCATACCGGTATACCTGGTATATATATATATATATATATATATATATATATATATATATATATATATATATATATATATATATATATATATATATATATATATATATATATATATATATATATATATATATATATATATATATATATATATGTATATATATATATATATATATATATATATATATATATATATATATATATGTATATATATATATATATATATATATATATATATATATATATATATATATAATATATATATATATATATATATATATATATATATATAAGGTTGTCAAAATTTTACACATTTAAAATGCAAACTCCACAACCCTAAATGTGTTCTATATAATAACATAATACTGGAGTTATAAAATCTTCGAAAAAAAAATATTTTTAGGGGTAGTAATTGTCTCTTAAACATCAGACGGGCCACTAATATTATCAAGAAAAAAGTTCTTCAAAAATATATATTGTTGAGTCTCGAAAGAAGTGAAATTTCAAAAATAATAAAAACAATTTATGGAAACACAAATAAAAAGTTTATTTAAACAAAAACTTTGAAAATATGTACTTTTTATTTTTTGTTAAAAAATGATAGTTTTTAAGCCATAAAATTTAATTTAGTGTCTCCTTACTTTAATAATTCTCCACCTGCACCTCATCTTGTTTACGCCATTTGCAGACCCCTTCTCCCCCATTCAAAAGTATGTACTTTATGAATGATCCCTAACAACAATATTGGCAGAGAGATAAAAAGAAAGAGCATGGTCAATTTGATCAGAAATTACATCTAAAAGAGTCGGGTCTTTTAAAGAAAGAGAATGATAAAGAACACAGAGAAAGATGATAGAGTGAAAAGGTGCTAAGCGGAAGAACATCAAAGAATGGTCAAAAGATTGAAATCTGATTTCACAACAAATAGGTGAACTGATGTCTATGTATACCCCCAAGCCAAGTATGTGACTATTAGAGTATTTGCTAACCAAATATTACCCATCAACACTGAGATCTGAAGAAGGAACAATGGAACTTAAATTCATCTCACAAAGAGCAAACAAGTTTGAAGAATTTTGTTGAGGCATTAAAATCATTAACAGGAACACCATCCATGTGCAACATGGCATTGTTAACACTTTGATATTTAAGAGCTGTTGATAGAATCAACCTCTCTGAGAGCTACAACAGAGTTTGGGAAACCTTATTACCAGTCCGCCTCAAAACCATTAAACTGAGTTTTAGAAATGTTAAAAAAGGTTACTTCCTGTAAACAGCACTTTAAAACAATGATGGGAATATTTTGAAAATACATTAAGAAAAACATTACATCTAACAGAATACTAGAGATTTAGAGAACAGATTTTATTTTTGGAGCAACTAGTTGGTTACTGAGCTCACACTGCATCATGGATTTTACTAGAGACAAGAGAGTGAATTATTATATATATATATATATATATATATATATATATATATATATATATATATATATATATATATATATATATATATATATATATATATATATATATATATAAAGTGTTTAAGATCAGCAAAAAATTACCTACCTTGTTTCTATGTTTTATGGTCAGACCTTTGTATCAAATAATTTTTGCCAACCTGATGCCGTTAAACTTTTAAACGCTTGCCAAAAAATTTCAAACATATTTTTAAATTGCAACAAATCTTTTTTCTTATTCAAGTTCTGTTTAAAGAGGTAAAAAAAAAAAATATTAAAATCGTGCACGCTAGATAAATAATTACTGTCTGACCAGCCCTTTTTTGTGTGCTGGGGGGAAATTTTAAACGGAGAAGACTGTTTATTAGTACCTATAATTATCAACTAGTTAAACTTCCTAGATCTCTGTTATCTCCTTTAATTGTCACTGAATTTTGAACAAAAGATTTATTTTTCTCTGTTAAAAAAACAAGTCAAGTCAAACTGCGCAAACATTTTTTAGTACCATATATTGTGACAAACTAATATACTAATCCTCCATTAAAATTACAGTTAATTAAATTATGTATAATTAAATATTTATTTATTATACTTAACTATATTTAACTAATTTTAATAATATAATTAAAGTTAATTATATATATTAATTTTATTATAATAAAAAAACAACTAAAAATGATTTTATAAAACTATTTCGGCAAACTATTTCATTTTTCACAAAAGAACAATTCTGGTCTTCACACAAATTTTTATAATTTTACTCCATTTTTATACAAAATTAGTCTTACCAAATGCTTAATCAATACAACATTTAAAATAAATAGTACTCAACTTAAATTTCATTCCAAATTTAATAACCCCTTTAAAGTATTTTAAAAAAACATGTATACACCTTGGCTAATTTCAAAAATATATAACTTTTATTTATGCAAAATTAATACCAATATTCCACCACAACCGAAAATCAAAGGATATTTGTCTTATTTCAAACTACCATTCTGAAAAAAATATCAGATTTAACTAAAAAAAGACTGAATTCAATTCTTGAAAGATATTGCTGTTTGGTAACTATTAAATTGCGGTAGTGGTGTAGTGGTAGAGCGCTCGCTTCATAAACGAGTGGTTCCGAGTTCGATCCCCACCACGTCCCTGGTAGTACCGCGCTCAACTCGTTTCTCCGCGCAGCGGCCTTGTCCGTCAAGGTTAGTGTTTCGGAGTTATAGAGTTGAGAGAGGGTTATAGCCACAAATAAGTAGCCTCCTCGTCTGTAGTGGCCTTCTCGGCCTTAAGGAGGTGAATTAAAATAAAAAAATAAAAAAAAATTAGTGTTTGCTCCACTTAGAATTTTAAAATTCTTAAGATAATATTCTTCTAGAGTTCAAACCACTGTTAGAAGTTGGTTTCAGGTCAGCAAAAAACCTTTGACATAAAGGGGTTACTATAAAACATAGAAACAAGTTTGACAATTTTTTGGTGACCTCAAACACTTTGAGATCTGCAGTTACCTGACCTTATATATATATATATATATATATATATATATATATATATATATATATATATATATATATATATATATATATATATATATATATATATATATATATATATATATATATATATATATATATATATATATATATATATACATATATATATATATATATATATATATATATATATATATATATATATATATATATATATATATATATATATATATATATTAATTTATAAAAATAAAGAAAACAACTTTTTATGGTACTAATAGTTTCATGCCTAAACTTTATTACATGGCAATCATCAGCCATGTAATAAAGTTGTTTTCTTTATTTTTATAAATTAATATAATGCTCTATTAAATAATATAAATAAATCCTATTTATTTATTATTGAGCACTCTTATACATACAAGAGTTTTTTGTATTTTATTACAAATACAAAATATCATACAATATAATATATATTATAATATATATATATATATATATATATATATATATATATATATATATATATATATATATATATATATATATATATATACTTATATATATATACTTATATATATATACTTATATATATATACTTATATATACATATATATATATATATATATATATATATATATATATATATATATATATATATATATATACATATATTGGTAAACTTTATAAATAACTGGATAAATAACTAGTTTTAATAACTCTGTTATATACAATTGTTATTTTTACTTATGTAAATAAATATATAATAGGCACATATACATAGTAAAATTTATACACAGATTTCTACTTACTTTATACTGCTCCAAGCTAACGCAAGAATAAAAATAATAATCATAAATCTAAGCAAATTGATTACCAAAAACCATAACACTTTAAGTGCTAGAATAGCAAGCATTAAAATCAAACATCCAAAAAAGAAAACTACATTCTTTAAAACTATAAATGTTTGTTTTGAAAACAATATTGCTAGATTGAAATAATGACTAAATTCAGAAAGAATTTTATATTCTTTGGCGTTTAGGTCTTTAATTTTCAATTTTTCCATAAATCTTATTAGTTTACCACCAGTATTGCCTTGTTTTTTTGCATTTCTTTTTTTAATATGCTTTTCTACATTCGTATTTTCTTTTTTTAAACTATTTTGTGCACTTGAATTTTTCTTTGAATTAGAAGGCTCAAAATTACTGTCACTAGATAATTTAGATGAAATATTTTCTTTATATTGGTACTGTTTTTTTGTTGCTTCAACATCCACATTTACTAAAAGTAAAGCAATTAAATAAAGTTATAAATAATAGTAAATTATATTTTTATTATTACTTATAACAATATAGGCACAAACACAATGAGTAAACAAACTTTATACAATGCATGTGCACAAAGTATACTTATAAGTGTTTACATAAAGTATATATATAATTTTCCACATAACTGTGTTATATTGCATGTCTAAATTTTTTATTTTTTTTTTCAAAACTAATGTTTTATTGATACAAAAGTAGTATACACATTATACAAGCAAAGAACATACAATTGAAACAGTAAAAATATAAGCAAAAATCACCTTCATTACAATATGTATTTTGCCTGCTGCATGCATAATCATGTTTCATACTATGCTCTTTATCGGAAGTAGTAGAACTATCTATATTTTTTGATTTAGGCTCATTTAATAAATTTGTGTCTAATATTTTATTCAATGCCTGCTGCAGAATAAGTAGCTGTTCTTTATTGAGATGTAATTTATCTAAATTTTTCCACTGGGTGTTCATTTTAAATTATTTGTAACAATTTGTTGGCAATTTATCTTCAGAAATCCTATATATGCATTTTTCCAACATGTCACAATTTATTAACCAATTTAATTATATGAAGCACTAACAATTTTATTTTTAAAAAAACATATATAAATATGCATATATGTATGTTGTTATGTATGACATATATAACAACATTATTCACAATGGTAATAACAATAACAACATATTATACATATAATATGTATATATATTAATACTGTATACATATAACATATATAAATTATATATGTTAATATATATACAGTATTAATATATACATATTATATGTATAATATGTTATTATTGTTATTATCATTATGAATAATGTTGTTATATATGTCATACATAACAACATTATTCATAATGATAATGACAATAATAACAACAATAATAATTGTAATAACAATTTTTTAATGCTATATAATTACATAAAATATAATATATTTTAATTGAATAATAATGGACCGTAAATACTACAATTACAATTACTTCTATTCATTAGGTTCCAAAAATAAAATAGACACCCATTAACGTTAAATTCGATAACGCCGCAGTTTTAACTATGCAAATCTTTTTGTTTATGTTCGATTTGTAAACAAAACAACTCAAATAGCACCACTATTTAAATTTTACTAACTCTTATATAAAAATAATGTTGTCGTTGTTTATTTTTAGCTCTATTTCAAATATTTTTCCCAAAAACTTAACAACCATTTAACAAAACTTTTGACAAATGTATCCTAAATTTTTAGAAGTGAAATAAAGACTCAATAAACATTTTAAACATTTTAAAAATCTCAGGAGGAGAACAGTTTCTGGACATTTTTACTGCTTTTTGATGCAAAATTGTTCCCTGAAAACGCAATGCTTTTATATTTGCGAGTTTTTTATTTAAACTATTTTTAGAAATAGTGTTTGTATAAATTATTAGAGTTAAACAATCGCGGGACTAAAAAAAAATATAGTGTTTTTGGTGTTTTAACGGTCTATCGACTTAAATTAAATTTATGGTGAAATGTAAACAAACCTGGATTTCCAATTTGAGATAAAATAAATAATATATAAGCTATCAAACTAGTAATCTAATTAAATAAGCACAATCTTATGGCAGAAGAAAAAATGGTAGTAGATATAAGCAGTGCCGCCCTCGTGCAAAATTTTTCCGGAAACCCCTGACAATTTTATAAATTTGCTGGTAAATTACATGGACAATAATAAGAACTAAATTCAGAAATAATATATTGCAATAAAATATTTAATTTACATACATCATTAAAAGGAACGTTTTAATTACAACAGGGGCGGGTTTTGTCACTCGCTAAAGAGGGGGCAAAACGGTCTAAAAAAAAAAAAGGTTTGCATATTTTTATTTTTAAGTATCTTTCTTTTTTATTTTTTGTACTTTAGTGTAATAATCAAGTTCATATACCTACAATTACGTATAATAGTCAATTTAATTCGTCAGTATTATAGTCTAATTTTGCATAATAGTCAATTTATAAAAGCAGCCGTGGCGCAGTGGTTAGAGTATCCAGAGGTCCGAGGTACCACGCCGGCTCTAGCCCAATTGGTAAGGAAGGAGGCGTCAACTTCTAATTAAATGATCTCGCGCGGTGCTCCGTAATAAGACCGTAATGAAGTCTGGGAGCACCTAAATAACCTAAAAAAAAATAATATTTTTGAAAAAAAAGTCCCAAGAAGGAGGGGGAGGCTACTACCCCTATCCTCCCCTGCCCCTAAAACTCACCACTGAATTGCAAAAATATTTACAATTACAAGATTGCATCATGTGAAATAATATTTCCGCCCCTTACTTGCCGTCTTCGCGCGGCGAACAAAATCTCCTTTCCCCTCTATTGAAAGCCCAATTTCTGTATTGTCTGTTTTTTAAAAAATTTTAAAGAGAATTTTTTACTACGTAATTTATAATTATCTTTTTTCAAATAATATACTATATGTTAATCAAAACAGATTCAAAAAAAAAACTTAACAGAACATACAATAATCCAAATTATTCGCAATATTTCTAAATCTTTTGAAAATTCTCAATTCATGTTGGGAGTTTTCAACGATTTTTTAAAAGCTTTTGATAAAATTGATCATAAAATTCTTTAAAAACTTGAATATTATGGAATTAAATGAAATGTTTTACTGTTACTTAAAAGCTATTATATATATGTATTATATATATGAAGCTATTATATATATGTCTATACATGTGTCTATATATATATATATATATATATATATATATATATATATATATATATATATATATATATATATATATATATATATATATATATATATATATATATATATATATATATATATATATATATATATACATATATATATATATATATATATATATATATATATATATATATATATATATATATATATATATATATATAATTTAGAAAAATTATTAAAATTAAGTTGAATTAATAGAGACTTTATAATAAAAAAAAACAATAAAAATGCAATCAAAAATGTAACAAATGTTTTAAAAAAGATAAAAGATAAAAGAACCGGTAATGTTAAAAGGAACTAGATTGAAATTGTCATTTTTACATGGTTCATTTGTTTATAAATAGTGGGTTTTTCCCCCTCTATGTACAAGCTTTCTTTGAGTTTCAGTATAAATTTGTTGGAGGCCGAATCCAAGATTGAAAAACTAGCATGATTAAAACTATTAAAACAGCTTTCATTTGAATGAATATGTTTACAAATGTGTGAGTTTTTATCCCTTTTTTGGTGCTCGATTATTTGTGTCTTTAAATGGCGAGTAGTTTCGCCAATATAACAGGATTACAGCCTGCGCATTCAAATTTATAAACAACGAACGAATTAAAGTCTGTAGGAAAGGGATCTTTTGTGGAAAAAAAAATTGAAATTTTAAACGAAGTAAAAACCAATCTTATGGTGACCGATTTACAATATCTTTTAATGACTGCGTTTAGTCTTTGTTTATATCAGATTTAACCAAACAAAGACTTAAGTTTTAGGTGATTTAAATTATGCCAAAATAGTATTGTACCGAGTTTAAGGTATATCAAATTTGACCATACAATGAGATCTTGGCACAGTAGATTTTAGTGTCTTAAATAACCAGGAAGTAAAATTTAATTTAAAAAAGTCTAAGTCATTTTAATAACATAAATAGTTGGTCAATCAATTTTATGGTTCACCAATAACCAGATATGTAAAATATAAATGATATGTAAACAATTCTTTGGGTAACTTTTCCTCAGAATGATGTTCAGGATAATAATACTTCATACTTTCACGTTTCTCTCTAGGATTTAAATATTCTAATAAAATGCCAAATATTTCTTTTCTCATGCCGGTAAACGAGTTAAAACATTTATCATCTTTATTGTAACAAAAAATGTTATTTTTCAATTAGACGTTAATTTTTTGATTTTATATTCTTCATGGAAGTTTCATTAGTTTTCATAAACTACTATTACAGGGTTGCCACTATAATTTTTAAAGTTTTTCTCTGAGTTTTCCCTGAGAATTCCCTTAGTAAAGAATGTTTTTCCCTGAGTTGAACTCTTTAAGTTCCCTGAGTTTTCTCTGACTTTTCCCTGATTTTTCTATATGTCTTCCTGTTCATCAACAAGATTATTATTTTCCTTAATTAAACGCAATCTTTATATTTGACAAACTAAAACATTTACAAAAACACCCACATCTTGCAAACTTATTATTATATGTATTAGCAAAACATTTTTGAAAAAAAAAGTAATTGTACAAAATTTATAAAATATATATATATATATATTTTCGCTGAGAATTTCCCTGAATTTTTAAATTCCTGAGTTTTCTAGGTTTTCCTTGAAATTCATGCTATTTCCAGGTATTACAGGTTTTCTAGGTTGAGTGGCAACCCTGTATTAAGCTTTTTTAAATGATAGTTTTTTTCGGATAAAAACAGCTTACAGTTTTCACAATTTTAGCTATTTGTAAAATCCAGTAATTATTTAAAGTTTTTTATCGCTTCACTTAGTCGTGAACTCTGGATATTTTGAACTTTTACATAGAGATTTTCAAGATAATTTTTCTCGTGTTGTTATAAATGAATACAAGCTTAAAACTTCATTTCTTTTTTTTTTTTAATTTTTTTACTGCAATCTGAACTAATCTTTATCTCCTAAGTCCTAAATTGAAACTCACACACTTTAGAGAGTTTCGTTATTAAAAAATTACCAGCACCTCCTTTACGTCTATATTAAAATATTTTGATACACCAAGCTTTGTTAACATCGTTTTTTTTTTCTCATGGTTCGGGAAAAAAAATAGACCAATATTAGTTTTTTCCATATTGCTAATATAAAATGAATTTCCACACAATGATATACAGTAATACTTCTCTTTTCCACATTTTTTCAATACTGGTTTGATAATGTTATAGTTGGAATAAGACATCTTTATTTAGGTACGAATTTAGTTTGTTTACATTTTTATCCTAATTGGGCTCTTTTTTAAGCTGAGAAACCAGTTGCGCAATCGAATTAGAGAAATGTCTATTAATACAAAATTTTTTGGGTGTCTATACCAATGAAAACCTTAATTGGAAATATCACATAGAATTCTTGTGTAATAAAGTTGCTAAAAGTTTAGGAATGTTGTATAAAGCTAGAAGTGCTATAAATGAACTTTGTTTAACTCAACTACACTACTCCTTTATCCATTGTCATTTTAACTATGCAAATATGCTTGGTGTAGTGCTAATAAATCCAAACTTAGGCCTCTTTATCGTCAACAAAAGCATGTTGCTCGTTTTATTAATTTTAAAGATAGATTTACTCATGTCAAGCCTCTCTTATTTAAAATGAAATTTCTTGATATATATCAGCTAAATATTTTTAATATTTTTTGTTTTATTTACAAATGTAAAACTCCAAGTCAGTTTCTTTTCATAATTTATATACCTTAAAAGATAAAAATAAATACAACTTAAGAAATGGTATTTAATTCGTCAACCATTCTTTCAAACTAATTTTCAAAAATCAAGCATTTCATTTCTTGGAGAAAACTTTTACAAACATTATTTATAATGTTTGTAA